GTTTTAAAGCTTTAATTTTGCTTCTTAGCAATTCTTCAAAGATGAGGAAGGTTTTAAAAATTTTCGACAGTGCAATGAAAATGAAAGGGTGCATACATGTCTAGTGAGGAAATCTGGACATGCTGTGTCAAAAGGAAAGGAAGGGGACTAGAAATGCAGTCTTCTCAAAAATATTTCATTAAAATCTAATTTAAAATGATTCACAGCAAACGTAGCAAATAAGAAGTGACTTGAACATTTTTCACAGGGAAGAAGTGCTTTTCCATTTGAAGGTATCTCAGTAAATATTATTAACCCACTTTACACCCTGGGATGATGAGAAATTACAGTCATACACAGATTCTGTGACAGGACCAGCAATGTAAGTCAGACCACCATTTTCTCATATGTATGCCTTCTCCAGCTGTATCCTCCCAAGTGCTACTGTTCTCCCTCATAACTGATGATCATTACTTACTTTCCCAGTCACTGTAACACCCCTGCAGAAACCTTCACTGAGTTTAAATGCCCAGAGAGTAGGAGGGTTTGGGGAAGGAGAGAGCACAGGTACTGGAGGGGCAGTAATACTTGTGGCTGCTTATCTACTTGCTTTTTAGACTATGACTTGGTACCTGCAGTTTACTCCTAAACACTAACTTTTCAGCATTGCTTGAAGGGAGGGGAACCAAGCAGGAGAAATGAATGTGGGAGGGAGGGAAGGTGAGGGGGTGGAAAATGAGCCTGCTTTACTGAATAATGAGGGGAGTGAAACTGAATGGGAAAAGAGAGAGAAAAGCTGGTTTAAATATTTAATATATGTTGCATTTGCTTTTGAAGAAGAGACAAAAGCCTTGGAACATCTTTTGTCTTGAACTAATTCTGACCAGAGCTCAACAGCATGCAGTTGTCACTTCTGTCATTTGCCTTAAGGTGGAGAGAAACAGATGGGTCCTGCTGCATCACCCCATCACACCAGTCTCTGTTTCCAGCTGCAGCCAGTACCTGGAGCTGCAGAAGGTACAAACTACTAATGACCGTGACACCTCTGCCCCACAAGCCCATGCTGCCCAGGTGCCAGGGAGGTCAGTGTATGTGCTGCCTGGGAGCTGTGCCTTTCTTTGGAGAGGAACAAGCTCCTCTGATGGGTCTGAGGAGCAGTTTCCCACTCGTGTGTCCCAGCATGCAGCAAGCCACTGCACTCTAGGTCTTCACCACTGTTTGGAGCCAGGTGGTTGGTGCAATACGTGACAGCAGGATTTTCCCCTTGTCTCTCCCCATTTCTGTGCATATCTTTCTGTCTGTCCTTCTCCTGCAACATTTCTCTTCCACTTTCCTTGACTAAAGGCCTTCCCCCTCTGCTCACCCATGGCCTAGGCAGAGCCAAAATCAGGACCACTGTCTTGTCCACCAGCCATTGTTACACCACCTGCAGCACCCTCTGCAGATCAGGCAGCCCCATTGATGACCCACACGTCAGCCTCAGAGATGACAGCTATATGTGCTGATAAGCCACTGCACCCATGAAATAATTTGTTTGCCATTAGTCCCATATAAACTACATTGTCCAGTTGACATAACTCATCCGCCACACGTTCTGTTTCTCCTGTCTCTCACACTGGACACCCAGACTTGAGGACTGCACCACAAGCCATGGCCAGTGTGACCCAGTGAGGCAGGCACAGCCCCTCATAGCAGTGGTGGTTCTCTGCAGCCACAGCCTGTCATCCCCTGAGACAGCTTTAGCCAGATAAAAACCTTATTTAGGCTTTCTTTATAGACTGGAGGTGTAAGAGGGGAAAATGCCTGTAAACCTGGCTTTTAAATTTGTAAATATCTAAGGAAGGCTGATGGTCTCTGAATAACCAGAGGAAACTGCTGAGACTAGGTACATTTTTTCTTGTTTTGGTAGTGGTTTGGTCTCTCTGATCCATTTATTCCCTTTATAAGCAAAGAGGTGCTGCCATTCCCATTTCTAGGTTGGGGGCAGATATACAGAATTACTGCGACTTCTCCAACAGAGCCCCTCAGAATGTCATTGGAAAAGCAGGGAATTTTGAGTTCTGGCCTCCTGAGCCCTGAGGGAAGGCATGAAAGCACAAGTTTTTGTTAACTCCTGAACTGGGAGCACATCAGAACAAAATGAAGCAAAAACCAAACAACCCAAAAAGCTCCAGCAGCATCTCTCTGAAGGCTCATAGTTAGCAATTATCTTTCAAAGACTCACTTCAAAAGTAATTTATTATTTTATCAACCATTTGCTGAGAGATCAAATAAAGCCAAGGTGCCTAGTTAAGTGTGTTCCTATTTTATTATGATATAATTTGAGGAACTCGACTGGCCAATTTAAATGCTGAAGAAGACAGCTGAGTGGGAGTTTGGGCTTGGTGAAGCCAGCTAGGCAAGAGGTTTGCATTTGGTTTACAAAAGAGCTTGAGTAGGCTGAGATTCCAGGCTGATGAGATGGTCTCCAGGATGACTACACTTCTTTTTTGGCAGAGAACTTGTCCACTCAATTTGTGAGCTATAAGGATGAAAGAGGAGTTTATTCTCTGTAGCACTACAGTATTTGACTTGTTTGTTGACTTTTGTAGCAAGTCCTCCCATGGCAACGATACCAGGATGCTGGTCACTCTGTTTGGATCTAAGCTACATAAACAGTTGACTAGACATCAAAGATGGCAGCCTATAGTCCAGGTTTGATCTGAACCAATGAGTTAAGAACAGAAAGTATTTAAAAAATCTGTCTGAGCCATAAAAATACTCCTCTACTTTTTCCCAAAGAGAAAAGGCTGAGAAGCTGACAAAGGAGTCCTGGTGCTGGAGTCTAAAAAGAGCCAAGTTCATGTCATGACCCATTACCAGTTCACCACCTGTTAAAGAAGAGGGAAGATCCTCCTGCCAAGTCACAAGGCTCAGACTTGACTCCCTTGCTTTCTAAACTCTTCTTCCTTGGAAGAAGCTGGTGGTGTTTCGATGCCCTGTGCCAAGCCGTGCTCTTCCTTCCCAAATCTAAAGCTGTCTGCATTAGGAGGAAGTCAGGAACTGCTGCTTCCCAAATTTGCTCAATGGTGGTTTGCCTTTGTGTTAGGCTAGTGCTTCCAAATCCATCTCCTGTGCAGGCCTGAGATTACTGGGAGCTGCTGTAGCTGGGAGCTACAGGACCCATCTCATAGCCTGTGTTGTGGCTTTCAAAGGCTGTTGCACAGAGGGAGATGTCAAACCATGTGCCTGTAACAGCCACAGCACCCTCCTCAGTGGCTGCTGAGCAGCGCTGGGAGCATGGGCAACGGAGAGGGAAGCATTATTCTTGGGGTGACAACAGAAACCTCCTTGTGCTCTGAGGAGAAGGAGGAGGAAAAAAAAAAAAAGCAAGCATATCAGGAATTCCTCAAATGCTGCAGGAATTGTTGGGGGAGTGCTGGAGATGAAATAGGCAAAGTAGTTAGAGGAATAATTGTATTAAAAGAAAAGTAAATTTGCCCAAAGAAAAAAAGAAAGAGAGAATAGTGGAAGTGCTGAAATTATATTTAGATTCGGGAGATTGTGACTCCCTTCCTTTTTTTTATTGCCAAAATATCTTGGAA